TGGGTGGCGCAGAAAAATACAAAACAGAAATTTAAAAACGGATAAGGGTCAAAACTGCCCCGATCGTTTGTTAAATGATTTACATTTACCCTCCGTCCACCTATCAGTCCAAAAATGCACACCATGTCTTTTTTATTAATAAAACTACCCCTACGTCTAACAGCAGCAAATGTGGAGTCTACTTTTAATGCATTGACAGTGTTTTATTTGGTCACATGGCTCCTGGTTTCACTTCTTACATATGAGTATAGTATACCCGCACTATTTATTTCACCCGCCCCATAATTTTTTCTTTTTTTTACCGAACAAACCCACAACCCACCCACCTAACCCCCTTCCCCCCTTCTTCTCCTAGCCATAAATCTCATGTCTGTCCATAAAGCTTTAGCCATTTGATCCCTAATTTTTTGTTTCGATAATATTCTTATAATCCTCATATACAAAGGAAATTTCCAATACCTCATGTCCTCAATTATTGCTGTAAACTCTTCTTTACTTACCAAAACGTATTCTTTTCCATTAGCCTCCCCGTTATGTAAGATTGTTGGTGTTGAGTGAAATTGTGGGTAAGAGTCGAAAATAGAAAAAGGGGTTTTGAGATTTTGATAGACGAAAAAATGAATTTTGGTTAGACTTAGCTTAAAAAGTATAGAGAGTCTACGAAATTGGGTCGAGTTTGAGAGAGAGAAAGATTGGATTAGGTGGGCGTTACCCATCATCGTAAATCGGGGACCTGATGAATTGGGTGGATGATTTATTAAAATTTGAAGATCGATAGCTAAGCTATGCAGCTATGGCGGCAGTGGGGCAGTGGCTTGTGAAGTGAGCAATGAAAAATAAAAAAATAAACTGAAAAAAATTAAAAAGGAAAGTGGATTGAAGCAACGTGCAATTATTGTTGATTTTCAAGACTGGGAGAAAAAGAAAGAAGGGAATGGGAGCGGGTTAAGTGGGTGTGTTGGGTGATAAGGAGGAAAGAAAAAGAAAAGAAAAAAAAGAAAATTATAAGGCGGGTTAAATAAATAGGGTCGGATTAGATTAATGGACGGATATTAGACCCATGTTTGGTTTTTGAACAAAATATCCACGTGGCCCAATAAAAATATGCCAACACATTAATTTGAAGGCCCACATCTGCTGCCGTTAAACATCGGAGTAATTTTATTAATAAAAATAATGAGGTGTGTATTTTTGGACTGATAGATGGATGTGGTGTGTGTTTTTGGACTGATAGGTGGACGGAGGGTAAATGTAAATCATTTACCAAACAATAGGGGTAGTTTAAGCCCTTTTCCGATTTGAAAATTACA